CTTGTCTAACCTCAGAGGATAATCAGCTTAAATTGCAGCAAGGGCAGTTTAGGTTGGACAGTAGGTGCAGATATTTCATGATAATCCGTGTGTGTTTGTGCTTCTCTTATGTTGGTGGATCTCCAGCCAAATGTTTCTGCCTCAGAAATAATTTCATTAAGATCCATATTGAGATCTACACAGTAGACTCTAAGGACAGAGTTTGGATCTTGATCATGAAATTGAACTTCAGAAAATATGACTAAAATATATTTCTGTATAATTAAAATAAATTGGATTGAAATCAGAGATTATCAAATGGCGAGACTCTTATGGCGAGCTTCATCTTTGTCAGGGAAGGAATTATAGGTCTACAGCCCTGATTCAAGGTAGTAGTTCCAATGGATTTTAGGAACCTGTGGTGGTAGAGAGAGGATTCTAATTTTAGTCAGTCTGGTGTACATCAGGAATAATTTCATTGATTTAAATGGTGTTACTCTGGATTTACACTGCTGTAACTCAGATCAGAATTCGGCCCAGTGTCTTCAATCTTATGTCTGCCTCTGTCTGGTTACTAAAGAATCAGGTTTATTCGCCAATGAATCTTTATATTGATGTTTGTTTAACATGACATAAGTGCAATTTGGAAACCATTTCTAAAATTTATATTTACTTATCAGCTAACTTTTTTATAAGATGCATTCATAATCATAATTGCTGCTATTCCTATTTTTACTGCAAGCATTAATTTATAGGAAATGTGTTAACATATCTTGTAATAAGGCGTGCTTCAGTTAAGTAGTCTATACAATTTATAGGTTTTCAATCTTAACTTTCAATTTGAAGTAACTTTTTATTAGTCTGTTTACAATGAATGTGGAGTATTAAATTAGCTTCTATTTAATAGTTAGGATGCGCTTTTCAAAAGGGTCTAATGTAGTTGCGTTTCTTACTCCCATTGAAAATCAGTAAGAGTTGGGAGCCTGACTCTTTTTGGAAAATCTCATTCTTTTTTCACACCTCGCTTCTCAAAGCTCTGTTAATCTTGTGTCTAAGGAGACTTTGATGGAACACTTTAACTGTGGGTGACATTGATGGGTTCTATATTGAGGAGAACTGTTCAGAAATTACCAGGCAAGAAGTCAATATGCCTCTGGCCTGGGAAGCATGTCATATATGTTTTTATTTATTACCAATACTTTCTCGATTGCCTCTTTAGTATCTTAAGCAGCAGAAAGAGAGAGAGACCATATTGAAAAAAACATTTGTAACATTGAAAACACTGGTAAAATACATTACACATAAAATGGTGTTAAAAGAAAATTTCTAGGGCTGCTAAGTCAAGCACTCAAGCTTTAGGAAATGCCAAAATTAAGGTTGCCTGTGCAACCTTAATTCATCTCCTTTGTGTATATGCATTATGATGAAGTCTTTAATTTTCTGATCACATACTATTTTTTTCCACAGTACCGCTGCGTCATTCAGTGCACAGGCCTATTTGTTCCCCTGGTTAGTGATTGATTCCTCTCCATCCATTAAACCAGAAGGGCCGCCTTCTTTTCACATTGGAAGAGGTAGAAAAAAACAGGGGAAGCACCTAAATTCGGGTGACAACAAATGGAAAAAGACAGGAATGGGAATGAGGGTCACAGGTTTAAAATCAGATTCCAGAATGGGGGACAGAGCAGAGAAGCCCGAACAATGCCCACTGCTCCCTGAAAGAGTCCAGGGAGATAGTGGATGCTGCCTACAGGTACTCTGCCTGGAGACATGAATGGATGAGTGTGCAAAAATGATCCCACAGGTCACAAGGACCCCCTCTTCCCCATTTAACCCCCTCTGCCTTGATTGATATTTGGCTAGCATCAGGAAGAGGTTGATGAGGAGGTCTCATGACTTTGTGGGGTAATGAAGGGAGAGTGTATAAATGAAAAGATGCAGGGAAAACTGCATCCAGAGCCTCAACAAAAATTTCTGATGAGGAAAAAGGGCTGCAATCTGGTACACTGCAAATATGCATGTGCCAGGGTGTGTCTCTTACCACAGGAAAAACAAGGGTTAGGGCATCAAAAAATTGTCAGTGATACACCTGTGCTCATGGCTCCATGAAGGAGCTGCCATCTTATAACTCTGGTGTGCCATGGACCCAAGGTGAAATACTGGCTGGACCACCGGGGTTCCTTGCCCTCCCGGGAGTGTGAAAATATCCATGCCCCTGAGCGTCATAGTTGACCCTGGTGTAGAGACAGGTAGGTTGACAGAAGAATGCTTCCATTGACATGGCTTCCGTTACTGAATGAGGTGGTGTTCCTACAGTGATGGAAAAATCCCTTTTGTCACTCTAGGCTGCATCTAGAATATGTGGTTATGCCAACATAGCTATGGTGCTGTTGCTATGCCACTAGAGTCCACGTAGTGTGGACGTGGCCTAAACCAAATTTTTCAGAGGTGGTCACTAACAGTGTACAGCTCATTTTCTGCATACCTGTACCCTGTGGTTTGATTTACAGAAGTGCTGAGCTCACAGGACTCCTAGTAATAAATGAGGCAGGGGTCCTGTGGAAAAAAACAGCATGTGATCTTGTAATTAAAGTTTGTATTATAATGCATATGCAACCTTAATACTGGTATTTCCTAAGTTCGGAATCCTTGACTTTGTTACTATTGCAATGTTCTTTTAACATAGGTTTTGTGTGTGTATGTAATTTCCTAGGTTTTTAAAAAAAGCAAACTGAACAAATAAATTCTGTTATGTGTCATCAAATTGATACCTTCCTGCTTCATTAGTTGTGTTGGAACCTTTAGATTCACGACACAGACCTCTGTCACCTGAGATAAATGGAGTAACTGAAGGCAATAGCAGGTTGTCATCCTCTGTGTAGACAAGTACTAGGGAGGGATGAGACCCACTTGCCAGTGAGCAAGGTGGATAAAATAAATCTATTTAAAAACATCAGATTTTTATATTTATATTAAATACACTTTCTTTCTTAAAAAATAAACCTATTTAAAATTGAAATTATGACCTAAATTTAATATAATCTATTAAAATGATTAAAATTAAATAATATTCAAATAGTATTTGTTTGCTACCAAAGTTTTAGAGAGTTAAGCCACTGAACCTGGTGCAAGTCCCTAGCTGAGCACCTGGAGCCTGAGTTTGTTGAAGTGCTAAACCCACTTTTGACAGCTGTAGCCTCTTGTGCAGGGGCAGATTGAATAAATTAGTCAAATAGAATATTTTCTTTATTTCAGTTTAAGTTGAGAAATCAATTGGGAGTTGTAAAAACAGGAAAGTTTGTTTTCCCCTACCAATCTATGAATAAAAAAGAAGCGTGAGAGGATGAGATCTAGTAGCTCTAAAATCTTGAAGGACATGGAGACCCAAAACAATCAATTCAGTTCACTAAATATAGATCATACTTCGTTTGTTTAATAAATCAGTTTTAAATGCAAAACATGTTTTGATAAATTTACTTTTATTCCCCTTATGTATCCAGCTCATTCAAAGTAGTTTTATTTAACTAATGAAAACATTTACAACTGTTTGTGTGCATTTTTAATGATTCCAGTTTCTATCCAGATGTAGCTTGACACAAATCACAAGTAAAAATACCCTTAATCATCTAATAAATGTCATTCACAGTTTTCTAACACCATAAAAAAGAATAAAAGTTAAGAATCTGTATAAATATATGTTGAGCTATATACTTTAATAAATGCGTATAGATACAGTATATCCTCTTGGTTAGCAAAAAGTACCAAATTTAGTGTAATGGATATATTCTGTTGGAAATCAACATATTAAAATGTTGGTTGGCAATGAGAAACAACTTTTCCTTAGAAAAATAACTAAAAAACATAAATGTAAAACCAAATTAAAATCCATTTAGATGAAAATTGGAATTCAACTAAAATTGCACAAAACCATCATTTCAAATATGTTTTTCAGTAGTTAAATAAAAATACCTGTTCAAAGGAGAGGTTGACAGAATCTTTTACTGTAGGCAGAACAATGTATTTATTCCCTAGCCTTCTCTGAAAAAGCGGAACCATTTTGACTGAAATGTTCAAAAATATCTAGCCTGAGACAGGCACCTGACTTAGAAAATTTTGGTTAAAGTTTGGCAAAGTTATTAGCCAATGAAAACAAGTGTTATAATGCGACGTGTGGGGCAACCTTCCTAGGTTGTCCTACCCAGCCCCACCCATGAGGGTTTGACTATTCTCTCTGATATACTTGTTTTCTGCTGGTATAATTCCATTGATTTTAAAAAGCAACAGAGGGTCCTGTGGCACCTTTGAGACTAACAGAAGTATTGGGAGCATAAGCTTTCGTGGGTAAGAACCTCACTTCTT